CAGCTTATGCATATTAGAAGGGTAGTCGTGCAATGTAGCGAGATACATCTTGATTTTAATATTTCATTTTATTCTTTATCTTAATCAATGTTATAGTATGGTCTTATGCGATTTAAAAAAAAGGATAATGTTTTTATTTTTGAATAAAATATAAATTTGAAGATATCATAAAAATTTGACAAAAATATATCGATATTAGTATCAAATTAACTATTTAAAATTCTATTTTTTTTGTGTAATTTTCTAATTCAATTTTTCTATTATAATTTAATTTAAGTTTAATAACGAAGTATTTTATATTTGGGTTAATAATATAATTTTCTTATAAAGATAATAATCAATCATTTTGTTATAACTCGATAATTATCTTAATTATATTTTAGATTTTTTATATTTTAAAATGAGATATTTATCCTCTAATTGGTTATGTTTATCCGCAGGTAGTTACACGAATTCAAACATGGATCTTTAATAAGTTGTACTTATGCATAATTTGCTTGTAATCTTGAATTTTAAGTAATATGCATTAATATACAGTACTCCATGCATAAAAAATGATTTTTAAGAGTTCTTGTCACATGCTTTATAATATAGTATAGATAAACAGATCTCTTCGACGATAGTAGTGTAAAATTCTAAATACATTTTGGGTGATTTTCAACCTATTTAATTTTTTTTAAACTTGTGTTCATTTCATAAATAATTAAATAAAAATATAACATAAACCAATTAGTTTTCAGATAATTGGGTGGAAAGAAAGTAAATTTTATGTTTTTAATTCGTGTAGTTTCTGAAAATTACGGTTTTCATCTTTATGGTTTGTAATTCATTGTCATTTTTGTCCCTTAAATTAACTTCTATCTTTAAGTACAAGGCCCGAAAATAGCAAATGATCGTAAACTATAGGAACGAAAGGATAATAAATTACAAATTATAAAGACGAGAAAACAATAAGTAGAAAACTGTAGAGGTGAAAAATCATATATTTTTTCTGATTAACCTATATATTTAACCCGTTATGCGAGTCGACTAATCCGAGGACGACCACATACTTTGCGGATAGCCCGAAGTCACCGCATTTGAATCTTCGTGGCCACAAAGAGAATTTTTTATTCCTCACTGAATTTGAACCTGGGATCTTCAGACACTTTTGACTTTGGAGGTCAAACTCAAACCAATTAGACACCAGAATTGTGATTGAAAATCATGATTTTAAAAAAATAGGGACGAAAATGGCAAATTTCAACAACCTATAGGGTTGAAAAATAAAATTTACTTGCTCGTGTAAAGATGAAGAAAGCAGATATTGGACTAAACCCGTCTAGCCCATAAAGGTTTATTGTATTGGGCCCAAAAACATGACCTTGTGCAAAATAACGATCAAATCCTTGAATGAAATCCACTCATTTTTTTATTAACCTGGGGTCCTGGATATCCAACCCGTTATGCGAGCCGACTAATCCCAAAACAACCACCTGTTTTGCAGATAACCGAGAGTCACCGTATTTAAACCTCCGTGGCCACAAGGGGAATTTTATTTTTTCTTGGATTTGAACCTGAAACCTCTTGATACTTTTGACCTTTGTAGTCGAGTTCAAACCAATCAGGCACCACCTTTGTGGTTGAAATCCACTCCATTTAATATGTAAACCAAACAAACCTGAGGAATTTATCATTGTGATTCTGTATAATTCTATGAAACAAACAACCCATAAATTCTAGGTGGTAAAGTTTTGGGAAAAAATAGAATTTTTTTATTAACCCAAATATCTAATTCGTTATACGAGCCGACTAATCTTAGGGCGATCACCTGTTTTGCGGGTAGCTCGGAGTCAACGCATTTGAACCTCCATGGTTACAAGAGGATTTTTATTCCTCCTTAGATTTGAACCTTCAGACACTTTTGACCTTTAGAGCACAAGCTTAAACCAATAAAAAATCATCCTTATGGTTAAAAAAATAGAAGTTTGTAGCTAATAAGTATGGTAATGGGGCGTGGATGGGGCAGGACCCCAATCCCTGTCCCCGACGGGGAAACGGGATTTTTTTCCCTATTTGTGTAAGTTTTTTTTTTTTTTAAATCAAATGTGTGAGACGTTACACATGTTTAAATCTCACATTTTCCAATAAAATTAAAATAAAAAAGAATTTAATTTAATACAAAATTATGCATCATCGTATAATAATTAATAAATCGAAAACCAAAAAAAACTAAAAATATCTAAAAAAATTAACGTCACATGAACCAAAACACATCGAATAATATTCAAAACCACATCTAATAATATCGAAAATATATTGAAATATAAATTACTATTTACCAATTTAATAGAAATAAATAATATATAATATAATTAATTAATTAATATATATACGGGTCCGGGGCAAGGCATGGAGTATGATACCCACCCCCATCTCTGGTTTGAGCCAAACGGAGATCCCTATCCCCATCCCCCAAGACCCGTTTTTTAATGGGGAATCCCCATCTTCGACTGTAACGGATCGGGTCCAATTCCCATGCCTAGTAGCCGACATGTAAAACACGAGGCTTTTGAGTTATTTTCACTATTACCCCATGATTTTTAAAATAGTACTAAAATACCCCTCTACTTATAATTTTCAATCACTTATGAAAACCATCAAAACACTTTAACCATTTTGACCACCACAATGAAGTTTGTTTAGAAATGTAAGTATCAACCAATATATATCCTTCTAATTTACTGATACTTCCAATAAATAAAAATACAGTGTACGATTTTAACTGATTATTTCAAGTATTATACTGTAAATCGTGATTAAAGTACTGTCACGAGTTCCTTATGGATGAAACTGCAATTTTTTTTTGAAATCTTGACCAACTTTGTCATGTGCAGACATACTTAATACAACGTCTTATGGGCAAAAGAATTGTATGACACAAAACTATAAACATTATGCATACCCAGAAGGCCAAAAACCAGACTTCGACTTGTGTGTAGATTGGAATTTCTTGATCTGTCGTTAGAGACGAATCCATGATTTCTTTTCACTGGTGGCACAAACTGTGATATAAAGTAAAATTGATTATCCAAATACAATTCAAAACATTAAAAAGATCTATTCCAATTTCAACATTTTACTATTTAGGAAGAGCCGACTCTAAGGGCCCCGTTTACTAAATATTAACTTGGTAAGTGCTTATATGATAAATTCCTTATTGGATGAACATGAAAAATAGCCAAGAATCTTACCAGGTAGGAGACTACGAACAATGAAAAGATATAATCTTTTATTTATTTAGTCTGAATTCAAATAATATTTATTTAAGTTTTAACTTTTTAGACCCGTTCGTTTATCATGTTAAACGGACACGAACACGAACACATCTAATTTCTAAATGAACGAACACGAACACAAAGATTTTCGTTCGTTTAACGAACAAGAACAAATCTATGTTCGTGTTCGTTTGGTTTATTTTAAGACCTATTACCCGATACATGAGGGAGACTACTCTTACTACAGTTAGGACTTACCGGGTAAATTGTTGCATACAATGACGTTTTGATGGACTAAAATTTTATCTGATAAGTGATAGTGTTAAATTTTACATATAAACACTTACCGATTAAGTGATTAACCTAACTTTTAAAATTAAAAAATAATTATAAAAAAATATAAAAATAATCAATATCAATAAAAACAAATTCATAAAAGAAAATCAATGAAAAATAGGAAAATAAAATAAAAGAAAGCATTAAATGAATGGTCAGATGTAGGACTTGAGCTCAGCCATCCTCCTAACAATTAAATTAGCTTACCAACCCACTTACATGACATAATAACTCGTATATATTTATGAATTTATTATTTTATATTATAATTACATTAAATATTTAAAAATATGAAGAAAAAAAAAATTTGAGGCTTCGGTAATCGGAGGTCCCGTGCGATGGCATCACTGACAGTGGCAGATCCGGAAATTTTACAGACTGGGGTTTCATGGAAAATTCTATTAGGAGAAGTGAAGTCAAGTTCTGTAAAAAATAAATTTTAACCCAGGTAATTTTTTTTAACTTTTTGACTGGAGTCCCTCCCCTCCCCCCTTTTATACGTTGTCTTTGCCCCTGATCACCGACACAATCCCAAGGCCAGCCTTAGGTTCGGGTTTTATATGTTCTACCATTGCTAATCATTAGTTTTGCTATATTACTGCAGTGCAGGCTGTAGCTACTATTTTTCCAACAACGATGTTTAATGGTACCACAAACAAAAAGTTTACCGAATCCACCCATGTTGATCGTAAAAATTAGGGGTACATTTGGTACACTAGACAGAACATAATAGAACAATAACCATTGTTCTACATTTGACAAAATTTTTATGTGGAACATGCAGGAACAAAGTGGAATAGTCCTGTTCCACCTCACCTTGTGGAATAAGGTGGAATAAACTTATGTTTTACCAAAATAACCTCAAAATTAAACCTAGTTCTATTTTAAACATCAATTAAATCTCCCTCTTTCTATCTTATTCAGTTTTTGAATTTTATTTATTGTATTTTATGTTTTTTAAACTTTCACGTTACCGTCTTCAAAATATTATTTTTATATTTTGATTAATTTATGTAATTTATTAAATATTAATAGTAAAAAACATAACACAAAATGTATAAAATAAAAAATCGAAAACTACATAAACTTTTTATTTTGGTGTCATTTTAATGGTATTGACGAAAACTTTCTAATGATATATTTTGTTTTTTAAAATATTTATTTTATTATAATTTAATAAATTATATAATCAAACAAAATATATAAACTGTTATATTCTGATTTATTTTGTTCTGCTTGTATACCAAACGCACCCTACTCTGTTAGAAACATTATAAAGAACATTAGGGTACATATTAAAATAACTAAAAGATGAAGGATGTAAAGTGTAAACATCATAAAACCTCAAGGGACCTGTATGAAACTTTTTGGATTTCGTAGTGAACATATCAACAGTAGCATTAAAACACGGTCTCGGGTCTCATGAAATTTTCCCCCAAATAGGAGTCAATCCATTCAAAATCTTCCGGTTTGGACGCACAGTTGTGTGAAATCATCGGATTTTGACATATGTGTGCCAAAAACACTACGAATTTTGTTCACAAAATCATATAATAATTAAGAATTTGGGTCTAGAAAGGATCGGCGAAGGGACAGATTGACACCTGTTTGTTAAATCTCATCTTCCAAAGATCTCAGCTCAGTCATGTATGGTCGAAGAAATCGGTGATCCAAATGTTGCAAAGAAGATGAAGAAGTGAAGAAGAACACAAGATTTTGCATCACTTCAATGGCGGAAACTATTGTGTTCTTCAATAAGGTATTCTTATGGTTCCGTATTGGGTTCTGATTTTAAATTACTTTGTGATTCGACTGAGAAAAGTTCGAAGTCGATTAGCTCTCTACATAGAATCTGATGGGTTCAAATGCTTGTTGTATGTTGAACTCATCTGATTTCTGAATTTATCCCTGTTGATGTATAGCTCTTAGATTTTTAAATATCTGGTTTTGATACTTCATTTAATCTCTTGGTTTCATGAATTCATGTATTTAATTATCTACTAAAAAGCTTTTAATCACAGTTTTAGGCATTTCCATCAATGATTTACAATCAATTCTTTCATTGACAGGATGTTCTCATAATCAAACCTGCAACGAAGTCTTCAGTGATGTTGAGACTGATTGTATTAGTCTTTTCGATGGTGTTTGGTGTTTACATTTGTTCTATTTGTTTGAAGCAAATAAGCATGCAAACCAAGAACAAATTTGTAGACATTGAAGTAATCGAAAGGCCCTGTTACAACACCCTCGTTGATCGATCACAAATCCCTTTCTTGCATTACCCAAATCCCAAAACTTTTGATAGGTAAAACATTTAAATCTTGAACTTTTTTTTGGTGGTTTTCGGGTGCGTTTGGTATGCGAATGAGACTGGTCAAGATTGGACTGAATGGGCGAGAGTGAGGTGGGTGGGTGAAAGAATTGTGGAAGGTTTCAGGGTTTAAATTTGAGATGAGTAGTTGAGTAATTTACCAATTTGTGCCATCTTCTGATTTTTGTTCCACCTATTTTGGTGTGATGAAAAAAAATGCATTTTTGTCCCAATCAATCTTGTCTATTGTTGCGCCAAACGTGAGCCAACAAGTTTTTGTTTGTATTGTCCCGTGTATCAAAACGTATCCTTTGAGATTTGTAGTGTATCTTTAAATATGGTATTAGTTTGTATTGGCAGGTCGGAATGTGCTGGGAACCCTGTGCGTTTGTTTGCGATTTTGTCTATGCAAAGATCAGGAAGTGGGTGGTTCGAGACTCTATTGAATAGTCATATAAATGTTAGCTCCAATGGTGAAATTTTCGGTTCGAAGATTAGGAGAAGTAACATCTCATCGATCATTAGAACACTTGATAGTGTTTATAATTTGGATTGGCTTACTAGTTCTTCCAAGAATGAGTGCTCTGCTGCAATTGGCTTCAAATGGATGCTTAATCAGGTATATATATGTGACTAGAAGGTTTGTTAGTTCAAGTCATGGGAAGTGTCAATGACTTCTAGAATCATTGTACTTGAACTTTTCTTTTTTGCAAACATATCATCTTTTTTTGGTAACCGTGAGTGTCTGGACCAGCTTGCATGCACCTCATTCAATCCCCATGGGTCCCGAAGATAACAGCCAAGAAAATCCCTTGTGCATCCGGCGCCCTATGAGGAGGAGCTCCAAGGCCTAACTTTTATTTGTTAGTTGAGCTGACCCTCGAGGTTAAAAATGACCACCTTTACATAAATGGAAAACAAAGCACCACAGTTTGCAAGAAACGAACGGTTCTGAACCTAATAGTGTCAAATACGATATTACTAGTGTTTTCTTTGCATTCTTCGCAAAAATAATGGGGGGTTTGCACCGAAAAGCTACGTCATGGTTTAAAAAGTTAACCACTCATAATGGAAACAAGCTCTTTGCAAAATTCAAGTGAACTCCGCCTGCGGTGGGATGAAATTGTGTTTGAATTTGTGGTTTTTGAGAAATGCAATAAGTTAATTTGCATAAAATTGCAGGGTTTGATGGAACACCCTAATGAAATCGTGGACTACTTCAACTACAACGGTGTCTCTGTTATATTTCTCTTAAGAAGAAATATGCTTCGTAGATTGGTTTCGGTGCTTGCAAATTCATACGATAAAAATGCCAAAGTTTTGAATGGTGTTCATGTGTCTCATGTCCACTCACACGAAGAGGTCCATCTCTCGCTCTCTCTTCTTATTGTCTCTTTTTCTTCCTGAGCCTTTTATGCAACTGCGGGAATTTACTCATTTGTAACTTGGGAGTAAACTTGAGGGCCAACTCAACTGAAAAATGAAGGCCAGGCCTTGGGGCTACTCCTCATAGGACTCGCCGGTTCGTGTTTCTTCAGAGCCACCGGGTATTTTCCGACCGTTTAGGGTCCCATGGGATTAGCCGAGGTGCGCCCTAACTGGCCCAGACACCCACGGTTAACGAAAAAGTCATGGGCTTGAGCTATTCAGACAGACTTTTTGTAACCATTAGATTGAAACTGACTCATTGTAACAAAGGAAGGTTACAGTTTTAGTTGGAATCACGTGAAACAGACTCATCGGACCAGGTCTCGGGTTCACATGGCTAAAAATAGACTCGTTATGACAAAAGGTTCACAATAAAAAAGGCACACAGATTTAGTAATATGTAATTATTACCCTTTTTATTTAACTAAATGACTATTTTACCCTTAATAAAATAGAGGGAGTAATGAATTTCCCCATTCATAATTAAGGGTGGAATTGGAAAGTAGGTACTTCCTTTCAAAAGTGGACACTTATTTGGGACGGAGGGAGTACGTGTTTGAGTCACTGAAACAAACTTAGTGCGACCCAAGTCACGAAAAAAGGACCCACGGATCATGGGTTTGAATTGCTAACGCTTAATGCAAAACCAAATCCAACCAAACAAACTCCATGATGTCGTTTTACCATCACTTGAAAGCAGGATCTGTGGGGGACGGGATTCGACACTTGCGCTCATAAACATTCTTCTTATATGATGCTTACAGGCTTCAACACTTTCTAAATACAAACCTACAATAAACATCGCATCACTCTCATTGGATTTGAGAGAAATGGAAGAAACAGCCATGAAAGCACTGGAATACTTCAATGGCACCAGGCACATGATCCTCTACTATGAAGATCTCATCAAGAAGCCCTCTGTAAGTACTTGTTTTACTGCACAACGTACAACTATTATTGCATAGGGGCATGTTCAAATGAGCGTGAATAATTCATGAAAAGTTGGTTCCGAGGTTGTCAAAATATTTATGGTTTTCATTTGAATTTTTCCCTTGTTGCATGAAGCGCAATCAATAGAATCGTTGCTCATTGTTTCTTCGACCATGGCTGTTGCAGAAACTGATAGAAGTTCAAGATTTCTTGAAACTCCCGCGTATGAAGTTGACTAGTCAACAAGTCAAGATACACAAAGGATCGTTATCGAAACACATCAAGAACTGGGATGACGTTAATAAGACGCTTTATGGAACAAGTTATGCAAAGTTTCTTGAAGCCGATTATTGATTCACGCACCGTGTAAATAAGGGTTGATTCAACTAATTCTACGATCGAAGGACCAAATCTGCATCACATTCTCGTAACATGTACGTATCTCTCTCAAAAAAGGCGTTTTTTTGTCGTTTGTTGTTCGTTTTAGGTTACGTTGGTTTGCGGTAGTTTAGATATTCTTATTGGTTAGTATCTCACTAGCTATGTGATTTGTTGCAAGTGCAAATAAGCTTTCTAATCAAACAGGTTTTTTCGTTGTTTTTGTAATTTTCTCTAGTTAATCAGAACGTGAAACCGTTCAATTTGCGCATTTTCCTTCAACTTTTTCTTGGTATTTTGAAGAACGAACCAGTTATGGCTAACGTAGTCCTATAGTATCATCGGATCGTGACTCTTGCAATGCAATACTTAGGGTTGTAAATGAACCGAATGTTCAATGAACCAAATGTTCAAAGAACCGTTAGCGAAGCCTACGATGGGAAATTCGTTTCTGTTCGTTTATTTAATAAACGAACGAACATGAACACATTTTTTTGTTCATTTAGTTAAATGAACGAACATGGAACAATGACCTTGTTCGTTCACTTACCTTCGTGAATGTTCGTTTATATATATATATATATATATATATATATATTATGACATTAATATGTATAATCAATAATTAAATTAAGTTTTTTAGAATTCCTTTTTTATTCCTCCTAAATTTACCCGGTTTTACACTTCGTTATGTTATCTTAGATGAACGAAATGATAAGTAATGGTGGTTCTTTTTTGTTCATTTGTATTTGTTTATGTTCACTTATGTTTGTTTAAGTTCGTTTAGTATCTTAATGAACGAACGCAAACAAACATATTTTCTTAATGAACATAAATGATGACAAAAAATTTTGTTCCTTTACTTTCGTTCATTTAGCATCTTAGCAAACGAACAAGAATACAAAAACATATTTCGTTCATTTAGCGTTTGTGTTCGTTCGTTTAAGTTAAAACGAACAAACATGAATCACCAAAAGTTTCGTTCGTTTACCATTTGTATCCATTCGTTTGTTCAGTTAAGTTAAACGAACCGATCGAACACCTCCGTTCGTGTTTGTTCGGTTTGTTTACATTCCTAGCAATACTCTAATTGTTGTCCCGCCGGCTTTCGCCAAGTGGGTAAGCAGGTGGGAGTTCTTGCAGAATAAATGGGAGGTGTGGGGTTGTTGAGACATGTGGTTTACCTTCCTTATGATTGTGGGACCAGTACGGTGACAGCAATTGGATTTGAGATATGGATCAAGACTTTTATAGCCTCCTCTACTGTCCATTTAGAGTAGAGATGGTCAAATGGCCTAGCTCGGCGGAGGATCGGGACCGGGACCAATTTTGGACCGGCCCGGCTCAGGACGAATTGGGACCGGTTTGGACCGTCGGTTAAAGACTGCTTATGGTTTTCATCCCAAAACAAGGTCCGGCCCTGGATCGGCTTGATCTCGATTTGGGTAACGTACTTTTAAAACTTCCATTTTGATACTTAAGATGTAAAGTTTTAAACATTTAAGTACCCGAGTCATGCTGATGTGGCGAGTGTTGTGGTATTCACCTCAGTATTATTTGCTGACGTGGTTAGTGACATGAATACTTTCAATCTAAAATTAGTCTTCAACCGGATACCCAGTTTATATCTTAGGTATCAAAATAAAAGTTTTGAAAGTACGTTACTAATAACTAGAAGCGTACTCGCGCAATGCAGCGAGATACATCGTGTTTTTAATATTTCATTTTATTCTTTATCTCAGTCGATGTTATAATATGACTTTATATGATTTTGAGAAAGCGATGATGTTTTTATTTTTGAATAAAATATATGTTTGAGGATATCATAAAAATTTGACAAAAATATATCGATATTAGTATCAAA